AGCACCTCCAGCACCTCCAGCACCTCCAGCAGCTCCAGCACAACCTCCAGCAGCTCCAGTAGAACCTCCAGCAGCTCCAGCAGCACCGCCAGCACCTCTAGCAGCACCAGCAGCACCTCCAAGAGCTCCAGGACCTCTAGCAGCGGTAGGGTCTCCAGCGGGCAGTACCTCAACACCAGGAGCTCCTCTCCGGAGGCTGCAGCGCCAAGCGTACCACTCACGCAGCCGCTGAGGGGAGGGGGGCTCCGGCTGCGACACGGCACCCGCAGGACTACTAGCCCCAACTCCAGCAGACCCCTCAGCTCGAGGAGCCCACGACGGAGGCTGCAACGTTGGGAGTACCACTCACGCAGCTGCTGTGAAGAAGGAGCGCCAGTAGGCGTAGTACGGTCAGTCTCAAAGCCCCCAGCCTCAGTGCCTCTAGACGTAACACCCCCAGTCGCAGCACCTCCAGGCTCAGCACCCACAGTCTCCGCACCCCCAGTCGCAGTACCCCCAGGCCCAGAACCCGCAGTCTCAGCACCCCCAGGCTCAGCGCCCCCAGACCCAGCACCCCCAGGCTCAGCTCCCCTAGGCCCAGAACCACCAGGCTCAGCACCTCGCACAGGACCAGAGTCAATAGCTACCTCGACAGGCTCGACCGGGTCTACCTGAGAAACACCTGAGGGAGCAGCACCTTGGGGAGGCAAGGGGGTCTACCGAAGCAGCACCTGGCGTGAGGAAGAGCGGCGGAGGGGGGAGCGGGGCAGTGCGGTAGGGGAAGAGACGGTGAAAGGGTACTGACTCGTCAAAGGTGACGTCCAGAGAGGCGAAGACCCGGCGCGAGATGGGGTGGTAAAACTGTCAGCCAGGCGCGTCAGGGACAAAGCCAAAGGAAGACACAGGGAACAGCACGGGAGGAGAGCTTGTCCGCGGACGTATCGCGGACAAAAGCTCGACATCCCCAGACGCGGAACACCGACGCATCGCCAACCTGCCCCGTCCAACGCAGGGTAGGTGAGGTCTCTGGAAAGAGACTCGGGGCCAGAGGTTGAGCTGTCGCGCGGCGTACTGCACTGCAAACGGCCACAGGAAATGGGGGGCAGCCGCATGGATCATGGAGGTACGAGCGACCTCCATAACAAGACCAATGCGGCGCTCAGCAACCCCATTCTGCTGCGGAGAGGCCGGGAGTGTGAACAACTGGGTGATGCCGTGCTCCGCACAGTAGGCTGCCAAGAGGTCAGAGGAAAACTCGCCACCTCTGTCACGGTGCAGACGCAGGACAGGAAAGTCCGACTGGAACCGCTGGCGGAGCTGGAGACGAGCAGCGCGGATCCAGGGGATCAAGACATCAGAGGCCTCACCCTTGGTACGCAAGGGGAAGACCGTGGTGTAGCGCGTGTAGTCGTCGACGACCAGCAGAAAGTACCGCTCGTTGCCCTGTCCCCGGACGCGGGCGGGGCCCCACACATCCAGGTGGAGAGTCTGCAGGGGAGCCTCTGTGGGAGGGAACGAGGAGGAGTGAGGTGCGGCGCGCTGCCGCCCCTCGACACAGGGAAGACAGGGAGGAGCAGGCGAGGGTGGGAGAAGAGGGAGAACCCTGGGAAGACCAGAGACAAGGTACCTGGAGTGCATGCCGCGAAGAGGCTGCACTGACGGGTGACCAAGGCAGGTGGTGCCAGAGGACAGTCCTGTGCGACAGGGAACGACACGAGCAGGGGGCCGACAGCTGACCTGACGCAGACGCAGTTACCTGAGGAGACTCAGTGGTCAGTGTGTACAAGTCCGACCCTGGCTGCCGAGTGAAGGTAGCCAGGTGACGACCCGTCCGCACACACGTGCAGTGCGTCACACGCTCGTAGGCCGAGGTGAACTGGTGAACACCCGCGTCCTGGAGCGCAGAACATGCCACCAAGTTCGTAGAGAACGAGGGGAGGTAGAGGCCCGACAGCGTGCCAGACGGGACAGCAGGACAAGGGAGCGCAGTGGTAGAGGTTCAAGGACCGGACCCCCTGAGGGGTCAGCCAGGGAGACAGCAACCGGTCGAGGAAGCTGCTCTAGGGCAGTGCGGTCGTGGAAGAAACAGCGGGAAGCACCTGAGTCCAGTGTGAAGGTGTGCAGTGCCTCAGTAGGTGCGGCACCAGCAGACGTAGACGCACTAGCACCTAGGGCAGCAGCCTCACCAGGACCTAGAGCAGCTGACGCGCTAGCACATAGAGCTGCAGCCTTACTGATCCCAATGCCCGGGTCTGGCGGTACACTCAGGTAACAGACACCTTCAGCACTAATAGTCAATGCATACATAGCAGCAAGAATAGCATCATAATCAAGAGCAAAGATATCAATCCCCTTCTTAAGCTGATCAGCCCAGCGGGGCAGCTCAGAGGCGTCAGGAAACTTTTCGCGCCAGGCGTCATCTAGGCGAAAGTAACAGCGCTGCGCCATGTGAAACCTCCCACAAGTCTGGCCAGTGCGGTCACCTGTGCGGATGACATACGGGCAGGTACCCCCTCCTTCAGACCCCCCACGCTGAGAGTACCACTCACGGAGCTGCTGGGGCGAGAGAGTCTCGCCGGGGCGCTGCTGCTGCTGCCTCTGGCCACCGCCAAACCCCCCACGCTGCACCGCTCCACCGCGCCCGCCACCCGCTCCACCGCCGCCACCACTGCCACCACCACCTCCACCACCCCCTCCACCGCCGCCGCCGCCACCACCCCCTGTGCCGCCACTGACCCCACCATCACCCGCGCCACTCCCACTCCCGCCACCACCCCCGCCCCCCCCACCTCCTCCACCGCCGCCGCCCCCACCTCCACCTCCACCACCCCTACCCCCCTTGCCCCTGCCGCCCTTGCGCCGCCCACTAGGAGCAGACGCGGCCCCGACCCTCTCAGCTCCGAGGTAGTCGACAGCAGCAGCAGATGTAATGGAGGGGAGGAGGGGAGGAGGGGGGAGGGGGAGCACCCCTAAAAAAAGGGGGTGCGGGGGTCACCACGAGAGACACCTACAGCTACAATGCTCTTCTCAGCTGCTAGGAGCTCCTTCTCGAGGAGGTCGACAGTGAGGTCAGTGGGGGAGAGGGCGAGAAACTGGTCCCTGACTGTGCGAAGGGAGTCAGGGAGGCGGGTGACAAGGTGGTACAGTGTGAGGTACATCGGGGGGGGGTTCTTGGCGAGGAAATCGGGGGGGAGCGCGGCACGGTAGCGGAGGTCACTGGTACGGAGGTGGGTGATGAGGTCAGCTACAGTAGCAAAGGCGGACAGGTCGGGGAAAAAGTAGGGCAGTGAGAGACGGCCTATAGCAGCAGTGGCAGGGGAGGAGTAGCGCGCGGTTACTGCGTCGTACAGCTCATTGGCGGTCTTATGCTGTTCGAAGTGCTCGCGCTCATCTAACGGTAGGTGACTGCGAACGGCTAGGCGAGCGTGAGCATCACGGGTCTGCCACTGGGAGCGAGCAGTGCTGTCAGCAGTAGCGAGAGGTGCGGGAGCAGCGCCGGACGTGTGGTCATAGAGGGAAACATCGTCCTTGGCAGTGATCTGGAGGTACAGGTGCAGGTCATCAAGCTAGACATTGAACTTAATAGGGTGGCCCTCGGCGTCAAAGGTGAGAACAGTGGGACTGGTCATAGTGGCAGTAGCAGGTAGCAGTAGCAACAGTAGTAGCAGTAGGAGCAGGTAGGGCGGCGCGACTCGGTCAGGGCGGCGCGACTCGGGCGGCGCGACTCGGGCGGCGCGACTCGGTCAGGGCGGCGCGACTCGGGCGGCGCGGCTCGGGTGGGTAAGGCGGCGCGACGGCGGGCCTATGCTCGGTGCGCGGCGGCGCCTAGGGTGCAGCTGCGCGCAGGCCGCGGCTGCGTTCTAGCGGCGGCTAAGCGCGGGCTGCAGCAGCCGACGCGCGATCGCCGCGGCGCGCTGGCTGCGACCTGCGGGCGGGCGGCTGTGGGTCGCGCGTCGGTCAGGGGCTAGTGGGGCCTACGGGCGTCGGCCTGCTAGGGCTCGCGAGAAAAAATCGAGCCGCCCTAGGCGGCGGTTTTCCTACGCGCGCTAAAACGGCGGGGCCGCGCTCGGGCTGCTAGCGGGCTGCACACGGGCAGCGTGAGAGGAGAGCGCACGAGGGCGCACGAGAGGAGAGGCGCACGAGGGCGCTAAAAAAAAAAGAGGGCGCACGAGGGCACCACTAGCGGAACGGTGGGCCCTTAGGTCTAGAACCTATAGCTCTTAATACCATGTCAGAAACAAGAAGTGATTGAACTATGAAAAGTTGGAGTACAAGTACCAAACCCTAGCTTTGTGTACCCCCTAAAGGCTAACCCACTATAGCCTACACAACAATAACACATATAGTGTTTGACATGATGCGCCATGTGTGATGTGCCATGTGTGATGTACCATGTGTGATGTACCATGTGTAATGTGCCATGTGTGATGTGCCATGTGTGATGTGCCATGTGTGATGTGCCATGTGTCATGCGCCGTGCGCCTTCCTCCCCTTGTCCTCTCTCTTTTTTCCACTTCTTTAGCCTCCTTTGCGGTCTCTGCTGTACTGGTTAGCATGTTCCTGTACCATCCATGGACTGTGCCCATGAGCCATGCTCCATGCACCGTGCACCATGCCCTATGCACCATACACCATGCACCATGCACCATACACCATAAACCACGCCCTATGCACCATGCATCATGCACCATGCACCATGCTCCATGCACCATGCACCATGCTTCATGCATCATGCACCATGCACCATGCACCATGCACCATGCTCCATGCACCTTGCACCATGCACCATGCACCATGCACCATGCACCATGCCTTATGCACCATACGCCATGCCCTATGTACCATACACCATGCCCTATGCACCATTCACAATGCCTTCTGCTCCGTGCTCCATGCACCATGCTCCATGCACCATGCACCATACACCATGCACCATACACCATGCATCATGCACCATACACCATGCACACCATGTGTCATGCATAATGCACCATGCATTGACCACATTTTTCTTGCTCCTCATGTTTTGTCTCCATTTGTTAACCCATTTCACCTTCACATCCCTTGCCCAATTGCCTTTCCTCTTTCCTCCCCCCACTTCTTTCCTCCCCCCCTCCCGTTCCCCGCCTTCCGATACCCATTCCAACCTCTGTTATCCCTTCTTCCCAGCAGCACTCTCCCCGCCACCACACCAAAGAAGAAACGTAAAGCCGACCAAGCAGCAGCAGCAGAAGCAGCAACAGCAGCAACAGCAGCAGGAGCAGGAGCAATAGTACTAGCAGAGCCCAAGACACCAGTCCCCGCTGGCACCACTGCCGCTGCAACCCCTGAGGCTTCCCCAGCTCCTTCGACTGCTGCTGCAGCACCCATCGGGGATGCAGGCGGGAAGAAGAAGAAGCATAAAGCAGACCAAGCAGGAGCAGCAGGAGCAATGGTACTAGCAGAGCCCAAGACACCAGTCGCACCTGGTAACGCTGTTACAGCAGCAGCAGCCGAGGCATCCCCAGCACCCAGCAGCGGCAAGGATGCAGGAGGGAAGAAGAAGAAGCGCAAGGTGAAGGAGGGGGATGTGTCTGCTGCCCACACAGCCACAGCCACTCCCCCCAGTGCTGTGAAGGTGGCCGGTGGGAAGAAGGCAAAGAAAGCTGCTGCAGGCAGCAGCTAGCCTATAATGCTAGAATGGGAATGTTGAAAGGTGGTGGAGAGTGGTGGTGAGTGGTGATGGAGGTGGTGCTGTGACTGTCTGCCGCTCACACACATCCTTTCCCCCTGCTCTGTGAAGGCGGCCTGTGGGAAGAAGGCGAGGAAAGCTGCTGCAGGCAGTAGCTAGCTATTCTGTGAGCTCACAAGGGGAATGGTGCAAAGGTGGTGGAGAGTGGTGGAGAGCAGTGCTGTGTCTGTTTGCAGCTCACATGTCCTGGAGGAGTGTCAGGTTTTCTCGCAGTGCTCTTCCCCCCAGCTCTTTCAAGGTGGCATGTGAAGCATCGGGGGAAGCCAGTGCAGGGAGCATTGGTGCAAGCCCGTTCCTGTATGCCTGCCTGCCTACATTTGTGTGTGCTGCTGGGACACAACGGGATGTTGGTACTTGGTACTGGTACAAAAGTGTTTGTTATGTTTGTATTGTACTGACCAGGGCTAATTTTATCAGGGTAAATCACCCTGATACCCTGATAATCAGGGTGGTTTTTGGCTGTCACACTGATGCCTTAGGGTAATTTTTTCGGGAGCTTGTATTTTCCTGATAGGCCAGGGTTTACGTTTGAGGTACACTGACGGCCCAGGGTTACCGATCTTCGTAACGAGTTTTACCCTGAATCGAGTACATACCCTCCCCGAGCCGCCCCACCCCCCTGCCCCCTCTCTACCCACCCCCCCTTTCCCGTATCGAGGTTCTCACATGCCAACTGTCGAAACTGAAATTTGGCAAAGGCAACATCTCTGAGCTGGCACGAGGGGGGCCTCCATTGGCCAGAAATACATTTTCGTTATTGCCTGCCAACGATAATATCAATACACCAGGGTTTGCAAAACTGGTACACTGATCCTACAGGGTATAATTTTCAAAAACTAGGAAAACCCTGGTGGATCAGGGTTTGAACAAGGTGTCACACTGATACGGTAATCAGGTTTTTTGACTTGTGCAACACTGATCACAAGGGTTGCTGGAAACCAAAAATTAGCCCTGGTACTGACTGACGTGTCAATATGGCTGCCTAGCCGTGAAATGAAAGGCATTGCACGGTATGTAATCGAAGCTAGGGTCACCAACAGTTGTCTCTGCCAATGAGTGCTGAACAAAGAGGCTGCTGCTTGCATGTCATTACTGAAATGTTTCCAATTTACAATGCCAGAACATGAGGTGGTTAGAGCTACAATGGTACCGTATGGTAATGGTTTCAACTTGCAACAGTGATGGCACTCTCAGTGCCTTCACAGCAACCAGTGAGTTGACTCGAAGGTCAACCTTTGGAGAATGGTCTCCCAACCCTAGCTGGAGGCGATTAGTTGCACGTGGGGACGGGCAGGGATGAGCTGATTTTCTTCGTCCTTCCGTGCTTTTCTAGAAGAGCCTCAAGACTAGGCTTGTGTTCTCTGCTTACCGCCACTCATTTACCCAAAGGTCACCTCCCTAGCTGGAGCTGAAGAAGTTGCTAATAGTGGCAAGCACGCCCTGCTCCTCTTCCTCCTCCTTCGCCGCGTCCTCTGCTTCGGCCTTCTTCTGTGCGTATCGTGCTGTCGCGATCCTCTCTGCCTCTGCCTTTGCTGCCGCTGACTTCTCATCCTGGCACACGTGGTCACAGCAAGATGGTGAGATCGCAACGGGATGGTGAATGGCAAACGTACAAGTACAGCAAATGCACTTGCCGTCTCTGACTTGTCATCCTGGCAGAATGAGAAGGATGCAAAAGGACGATGAGATTCGCAACAAGTTGATGAGAAGTGTGCATTGCGGCGGTTAAGACATCACACCGAGATGACAAAGGTGCCAACGGGATGACGAAGGGATGGAGGCATAACTCCATCCCCCCTGCACCCATGCAGCCCGAACCAGCCCAGTCCAACAGCCTGTGTAACATAACCCTCTCCACACACATCCAGCCCAACCCAACCCAACCCAGCCCAACCCAACCCAACCCAACCCAATCCAACCCAACCCAACCCAACCCAACCCAACCCAACCCAACCCAACCCAACCCAACACAACCCAGCCCAACCCAACGCACCACTTTCTTGTGGAAGAAGCTCATAAGGTACGACTCAGCCTCCTTCTTCTCCTCCTTCTGCTCCTCCTCCTCCTCCCCATCGTCCCACGAAAACAAACTCCAGAACCCGCCGCCCTCCTGCCCCTCCTGCTGCTTCCGCTTCTCCTCCTCGAGCCTCTTCCGAGCCTCCTCCTCCGCCTCCCGAGCCTCTTCCTCGGCGTCCTCTGGGGGGAAGTACGGGGCGACGAGCCCCTTGGCGATGTAAATAGCAATCTGCATCTTGATGGCGTCCGTGTATGACTGGGGGGAGGGAGGGTGGGGGGAGAAGGGGACTGGGGTTACTGGAGGAGGCCTCAAGCCTCTGGGGGGAAGTACGGGGCGACGAGCCCCTTGGCAATGCAGATTGCGATCTGCATCTTGATGGCGTCCGTGTATGGCTGGGGGGGTGGGTGGGGGGAGAGAAGGGGAATGGGGCCACTGGGGGAAGCCTCAAGCCTCTGGGAGGAAGTACAGGCCTTGGGACGTCTCAAAAACCGGATGCTCAAGGGAGGAGTCTGTGAGAGGAATCCTGGACTGCGCATGGCCTCTTTGGGAAGACTATTTGAGTCATCTCGGCTTCTCACAAGTCAACTCGGATTCTCAACTCGGCTTCTCACATGTCAACGCGGCGTGAGGCTTGGCTCAAAGCCCCAACGCCTGAAGCTCAGGTTTCAGGGAACTGTGAGAGTCCCCAAGCATGGAATGCTGAGAGTGAAAGACAGCTCATGTGTTTCGATGTACCATTGCGGCCGGGGTTTTCTAAGATTTGAAGGGTCAAGCTTCGCCCCGATTGCGCGCTCTGCTGTTACCCTCCCCTTCCCCCTCCCCCCCATCGTGCGGTGTGATGTGAGAGTGGTGCAGGCTGGCAGGGAGTGGACGACAGAGGTGTTGAGAGCGGTTCAGAGGCTTACGAATCCGTCAGGGATGTATCCGTCGAGCTTGGCCTCCACCTTGTACGCCACCATCATCTCCACCCGTCGCTGCACGCCACGTGTCAGATAGTTGGCGAAGTCAGAAAGGGCCTCCTGCCAATGGGGAGAGAGCAGCATGTGTTTCAACGGGGAGGTGGGAAGGTGAAGGGGTGGGGGGTTGGTGGGGGGGGGGGGGGGGGGGAAAGAGGAGGGGATGTGTGAGAGATGGGAAATCGTGCAATCGTAGTGTTTATGTGGCTCGCGATCTAACCAGCACCACGAAACGCCGCATTGAAGCTCTTTCACAAAACGCGCGACCGCGAGAACTCAGAGAGGGGAATCGAGGAGAACAAGGTGATAGAACGAGGGCGCCACGCGAGGTCGTGGTGGCGCGTGAGCCGATGATGACGTGTGAGGCGATGATGACGTGTGAGGTGCCTCAAAGGATAAAAGAGTGTCACGCGAGGCCGAAACGCCTCAGACCTGACTCGTGCGTTGAGACAGACCTTCCGAGCCGCGGCGCGGCATCGCGGGGGACCTTGCGAGTTCCGCGGAAGGCGCAATGCGCGCGCACTAGCGACGTGGGACCAGCAGCACATTTTGTAAGAAGGCTTTGACACGTCGAAGAAAAGGACGACCAGCGTCTGAAAAGGGGCGTTGAAGGGAGAGCGTTTAGGCGTCATGCTGCAGAGCCCAGCGGCTCAGGTAGACACCAGTTTCTCCGAAGCTTTTTATCTGATATAGTTTTCTTTTTTTTCTTCTTTCCTTTATCTATGAAGAAAAAATTATGCACACACACACAATTCGAACGATGATGCTGTCTGTATGCGCCATCGTTGAGGCCGCATTATGCGGCGAGTTTTTAGGTGCTTATTCTGCGGAGATCGATGCAGAGCATCAGGCGGCGTGATCATAATGCGGCACGCCCAACGGCCCTCGCGAATTCGCCGCGAAATTCGCTATTTAAGTCAGACGACGCAAAGCTTTTAGTTCTAACATAGGAATGCAGCATTCTCAACAGCATTTAGTCGTGTGACAAAGCGCATTACCATTATTCAAGGTTCAGCGGTGGCACTGCGAGGCGGGTGTGGAAGCAGGTGTGATTTCAGGAGCCGAAAGCGAAGAATGAGGGTGAAACACAACGGAATGGGCAAGCTAGAAATGATGAGGCAGGCAGGAGACAAGGCTGGCTGAGGTGTTTCTTGACTGCCGCTTGAGGATGCGGATGAGGAGGAAGCAGCGAAGCGAGGGAGCGGGTTGAGGATGAGAGAGAAGAGTCGAGTCAAGCCGAAGCAGCAGCAGCAGTGCACCACCATCGCAAACATGCATGCCAGTCAAGATGAGCATTACGCGCTGGCGTGATTGGTAGTCCGCGGGCTCGTCGGGTTGCGTCGTGGATCGTCAGGAGAGATTACCTTTCTGTTCAGTTATAGCGGTTGAGAACGATTCCGTGCTCCTCTGGAACGGTACTTCAGATTCACCATCTTGAACCGTTTCTTACCAGTCTGAAAATCTATACATGAACCGCAAATGTTTTCTCGCCCGATCCGCCCTCAGTCCCAAGAGGACCTCAAACTCAGGCGCGCCCTTTCCCGCGAAGCATTTCGTTTCGCAGTGTCGGTTGGGATCAAGTGCATTGTACAGTAATCTGAAACTGACCCGAGTGTTGCAGTTTCCGGACAGGTTTGATTTGAAATTGACCCGTGTAGGAGATTTCCTTTTCCTTACTTCGCGTCCCTGCTCAGCGCATACACCACTGTTCCCGCCAAGAGTACCCAACAGTAATCCGTTACCACTCGCGACATCCTCCTCGACATTGTTCCCGCCACTGTTCATGACGCAACCCAACCTCACGGTTCAATTGGTAACCCGCGCTCCGGACCTCCACCTCGCCATTTCCCAACCTCGACGCCAGGCCCGTCGCGCACCCCACTTTTCATGCATTACCGTTACCACTGTAGTTTCACTATATATTCTTCGCTCATTTACTCGGGCTTCGACAGTGCAATTCTCGCTCGTTCACTCAATTGCGCTCGTATCACTTCGTATTCATAGCCTACGATCTTTTCTCGGACCGCACCCACTCCTTCGCTTCCCCACTATCTCAATTTGTGGGGGGGAGTAGACATCTCTCAGCGAAACAAGCACCGCCGCTCATAGTGCTCTCTCGTAAGCATGCACGGCCACGACAGAGGCTCTCGTTGAGCTTGCCCGACATCCCCACCATGGCCGAATTCACTCTCGCGACAGTGACGTAGGAGCAACTCGACCGTCTCATGCGCAAGATCGAAGACTCGGCACTCGAAATTGCAACACTCACGGCGGAGCGCGACTCCGCTCGTCAGCAATCCACGGTGAATGCTCCAGCGCCACCACACGCACCTGCAAATGCACCTGCACAATCAGAGGAGCCGATCGTCATTTCATCAGGCACACTGACACAAAACGACAGCGTGGGACAGTGCTAAGGCGCAGCCAGTGATGGCGCCGCTCAATCGATGCCTGGCATGGAGAGGAGCAAGACCACGCCGAGCCCGTGGGAGCCTCGCGAAGCCCGTCGGCACGTGGAGTTTGCGGCGGCAAGTGGCGACCACGCCATCATGGCACCAATGTCGCTCAAGCCGCAGCGCCCGCCCTGTTTCGACCCAAGCCAGCGTGGAGGTCCGACGGTTCAATCATGGGTCTTCATGATGAACGTCTTCTTCGACGCGAGCTACTTTGAGTCGGACGCAGCGAAGATCCGCTATGCCGTTCTCGCTGCTGAGGGGCCTCGCCATGGACTGGTGGCGAGACATTGTGACGTCGTCACTCGCCTATGAGCCACAGTCGCAAGAGGAAGGGCCCACGGGCCCAGCCGTCACCCGGAGCTCATTCTGCGAAACCGCCCAATACAGCACGTGGGAGGCGTGGTGCGCAGGGCTTCGGGCGCGCTTCGAGCCGATCGCGACTTCTATTTCGGCGCGTCAGAGACTTCGTACTTGGCGGCAGCTCGGATCGGTTCAAGACTATACGAGCGGTTTTCTCGCATTATGCGAGCAAGTCGGCTATATCCACTAAGCGGACCGGGTGGACCGTTACGTCGGAGGGTTGAAGCCGGACATCTCGTACGAAATCATGCTACACAGACTCTCGAACTTCAACAAGATTCTCGCGCTCGCCGAGAAAATCGACATTTTACGTCGTCCGATATCAGGGTCCTACTACGGACATCGCCCTTGGGGACCGATCGAGCACGCCACCGTACATGCCATTGCGACAAATGCAGCTGCTGTCAAAATTATAGAACAGGAATGTGTGAACTATGAATGAAGGCAGTACAAATATGAAACCCTAACTGGGTTGTACCCCCTATGGGATACCCCACTACAGCCTACACAATAGTATAAGCTATAGATATGTTCTGACACACCCCCATAAGCAAAGTGGGGGAGAACAAGGGGTCACAAGACCAGTCAAGCAAAGCAAAGCAAAGCAAGCTCAGGGTGGATCACAAAGTCACCACACAGTCCGAGCACAAGAGCAGGGCCAGAGGCCAGTTCACATGCAGGAGTGCAGACATATATATATAAAACTAGACAAGCAAGAGCAGGTATATATATATGTCACAGTACAAGTAAAGTCAAGAGGAGAGCAAGTGAGGCAAGACAGGCACAAGACCCAGCAGGGTGCAGAAGCGCTGATGGTCACAAGGCGCGAGTGCCTTGGTGAACACATCAGCAGTGTTGGCCTCAGAGGCCACGTACGCAAGCCGCAACTGTCCACGCTGCTGTAGCTCACGAGCAAGAAAGTAGCGAAGAGCAATGTGCTTCGTTCTGTGCTCCAGACGCTGCTCTCGACACAAGGCCAGCATGGCCTTGTTGTCTACGTACAGCACTGGAGGAGAACGAGGCGGCTCTCCAAGGTCAGTCAGCAGGTAGGTGAGCCAGCGAAGCTCCTGTGCAGCCATGGCCCCGGCGTAGATCTCAACCTCACAACTGGAGCTGAGAACCGAAGACGAACGAGTAGCCCACCACGAGACAGAGTCGGAACCAAGGCTGAAGGTGTAACCCTGTGACGACCGCTGCGTAGCCTGGTCGTCAGCCCAAGAAGCGTCCGCGTGACCTGTAAGGACCACTGGACTCCGCCCTCCAAGCACTAGCCCCATGCCCGACGTACTGCACAGGTAGCGCAATACCCTCTTCGCTGCTGCCATGTGCTCTGGTCGGTGTCTCCCAGGAGCAACATAGCGTGCAAGAATGCTCAGAGGGTATGCAAGGTCAGGTCGTGTGCAGGTCATCAGGTACATGAGGCAGCCAACAAGCTCTGGGTACGGGCCACTCGACTCTACGGACTCATCCGAAGGCAGAGCTGAGAGCGAGTGGCGAGTAGACAGAGGAGTGGCCTGAGGCGAGGAGTACGTGAAGCCGAAGCGCTGAAGGACCTGCTGCACCATGTGTGACTGAGTCAAGGTAATGGTGCGGCGTGCTCTGTCCCGAGTGATCTGCAAGCCAAGGTAGCTGCGCAGTTCACCCAGGTCTGTGCACGTGTGTCTCTTCAGCAGCTCGGACTTCACGTAGGCGAGTCCAGCAGTGTCCGCTGTGGCAAAGACCAATTCGTCGACGTACACGAGGATGTAGAACGGCGGCAGAGAAGTGTCGGTGCGCAGAAACAGCGACGGGTCAGCAGTAGAAGGAGCAAACCCAAGAGCCGCAAGCGTAGTCCTCAGTGTGTCGTGCCACTCACGCGGTGCCTGGCGGAGACCGTAGACTGGCCGTTGGAGGCTCCACTGGGTGCCAGGAGGGAAAGTCCCAGTGAAGCCAGGTGGACGGCGCAGCCAGATCTCCTCGTGCAGGCTACCCTGCAGGAACGCAGTGCTGAAGTCGAGAGAGTGAAGCTCGTAGTCGCGCTGAGCGGCTATGTGCAGCAGCACCCGAAGAGTGGTCATCTTCGGGGTGGGAGAGAAGGTCTGAAAGTAGTCAACTCCCTGCCGCTGACTGAAGCCACGAGCAACGTACCGCGCCTTGAAGACAGGTGGAGAGCCCGGCGGCCGCTTCACCCTGAAGATCCACATGCCACTGACGATGTTCGCCCCAGGAGGGGGAACTGCGTCAACGTAGGTGCCTGTGGACTTCCAGGAAGCCATCTCTGCATCCATAGCTGCCTGCCACTGAGACGAGTAGGGACCCTCTACGGCCTCCGCGTAAGAGCGCGAAGTCGGGATGTCTAGTGCATCCGGGTCTCCCTCAGGAGCAAGCTGTACAGACGCGAGATGAGGTGAAGCAGCAGCCAGACACTGTAACTCCTCCTGCCTGTCCTCAAGGACGTCCGTGCCAAGGGCACACTCACCCCCGACGGACGGAGGACAGACAGACGCAGACTCAGCAACAAGACCAGCAGCGTAGTCTAGACGACAGCGAGCAGCAAAGTCGACGAGCTCAGCGACAAGAGCAGACGCAGCAGTGGACTCAAAAGAGGGGTCAGTGACGACAGTAGCAAGCAGACGCGTGACAGTAGGACTGGCAGCACGAAGAGAGTCCGACTCAGGGTCGGCAAGCGCAGGAAGAGAGGACTCAGGAGGAGAAGGCAAAGGGGCACGCAGAGGAGCAGTGGACGGACGCAGAGACATCTGGTGCGTGCCAGGGACAGGAGGAGGACGCTGTGGTCAGGGTGTAGAGGCTCGACCCCGGCCGACGCGAGAATGTGGCCAGGTGTCGGCCTGTGCGTGCGTCCGTGCAGTGGGTCACCTGCTGACTCGCAGGAGTGAACTGGTGAGCCCCCGCATCTTGCAGGTCCGCACCACTCACCAAGTTCGTAGAGAACGAGGGAAGGTACAGACCAGACAGGGTGCCCGAAGGGGCAGCCGGACACGGGAGGACAGTGGAGAAGTGAGAGAGGACAGGACCCCCAGAGGGGTTAGCCAGGGAGACCGCAACGGGCCGGCCAAGCGGCGTGAGGGTAGTGCGGTCTCGAAAGAAGGAGCGAGAAGCCCCGGAGTCGAGCGTGAAAGTGAGGGAGGACGAAGGCGACGCAGTACCTGAGAGCGCAGTCTCACCAGCACCTGAGAGCGCAGACG